TTTTTCGAGAAAAAAAAAAGAAAGAAGAAGAGGTTAAAAAAGAATAAACATATCAAACATCATGCCTTAAAAATCCATAATTGAGAGGGATTGGTTAGTTCTCACATACAATATGCCCAAATTAAAAACATTAATATTACCCCACAAGACACAAGCATTAACTATATGTTATATACCTAAAAAACAGCCCCTTTTATTTTGAAGAAGTAATTAGCCAAGCAAATTTTGAAAGGACACAAAGGTCTTCTTCCATGGGAAATTTCTGGGAATGTGGGTGTTTGGTGGGGTTTCCCCTTTCTAGGGACAAAAATCCACAACCAAAGGATTTTGTTTATTATTATTAAATATTGTTTTTATTCAAGGGCTTGATACATAGACGAATTTTCTTGTTGATATATCGATAGATCGATGCATATTGTATGGATTAACGAGAATAGAGAAACTCTATAAAGTGGTCCCCTAGAATGCTCGAACACACACCAAACGACATAATATGATGATCCTCCCACCTCACCCTTTCTATCCTCTTGAAAAAAAAGTTTGATTTTAAATCACGTATGGATCAAATCAAAAGAAGAGTGTGACAAGCTAATATGTGTTCGACGATCCACACCTTAGGATTAAGTACGTGTTGATGAGGTCATGCTGAACAAATAATCATATAGACGTAAAATGGTTATTTATAATTTAAGTTCGAGTCTTAAAAATTTTAAACTACGTGGTCCATGAACTTTTGAGATTATTTTTTTCATCATAGGTTGACTAGATATAAATATATTCCAATTAAATTAGTGTGATGCGACAGACAGTTGAACAAACATATAGGTAATAACAACCATTATTATGGTATCTTGAATTGGAGGGCAAAATGAGGAATATTAATATCCCTCCCAATAGGATAAGATAATTCATCTTCATTCTTTAACACACTTTGTAATATATATTTTTTATTTTTTTATTTTTTTTATTTTTTAAATAATTAGCCTACCACAAACTAGCACGTAACCCTCTTGAAAGACTTCAAGAAATTCAGTGACATTTTTTGCCCTTTTTCATGAAATTGATTGAAAGATAAGGACTTTGTTTTTCTAATTAATAATTAATAATCCTATCCCACCAAGAATTTAAAATTTTATGAAATATTATTGTGCAGTTGGATTTCCTTTCGTTTTCCATAAGTGGGCTCCACCGTTACTTTAATAAGATGGGGGCATGAAATTAAATATATAGTATGTATGAAAATTAATATTTAATATATACTTTTTTTTTAATGAAATAAATTTTTAGAGATTCAGATTCATTCAGACAAGGTACTATTCTGTTGAGCTGGTTGGCCATCTCTAGCCTGTCTTCAAAGGACTTCTCCGTATTACCTTACCATAATTAATGTTTCGAAGCTTTTTTTATTTATTAAAATTAATACACTTTGGTTTAAGGGATTTTTTTTTTTGTATTTAATTTTTATGTACGTTGAATTGTTGATCACTTTTTTTTTTAGTCCATTTGAAACATCGTGTCAAATCAACCGATGCTTGTTTAATAAAAAAATGTCACTTATGAAGGCGAAATTTGATTAGAAGACATGTTATCATCAAGTCAATTACGATCTACTCTGCGCATGAATCCTACGAAGAAAGTTCGGAAATGATGAGCATTGAGCTACCAAACTTGAACAACTCTGCAACAAGGTTATCGAACTAATCGCTAACGTTCAAATGGTAACCACTTAACTGCATACTTGCCTTGCAGCATATCTCACGCCTGAATCTCGAAGATAACAGCTATGTTGAGCACACACGACTCCAACGATTATCTTCTTCTTGTAAATAAATATCAAAAAACAACATAAGGAGGTACACAAACATTTCAAGTTAGAGATTTCAACTAAGAATCTTGTACAGACAAAGTTTCGGAGTACTAACTTATCCTTGTCTTGCTGGATCATCCATCATCTTCGAGTGTTTTTGGAGATTTTAATGTTTTGATCGATTTTTTTTTTTGTTTAAAAGGATATGCGCGCTGTCCCCATACCCGTATTTCTTCAAGTTTCAAGCTACCTACGCTATGATTTGGAGACAGTAATCATTGTAATTTGACTATGTGCAAAATAAGAATAAAAAATGTTTTATTAAATCCTATTTTCGCCATGAATTCTTTTTACCAAGTTGGTTTTGGCCCCTTTGCCCATTTATATATAAAAAAAATGTTTTGTTGTAGTCCTAAATTATTTTGTATAAAAAAACTACTTTAGTTCTAACGATTAATTATTTAACACAAAGCTAATACCTTTTAAATTTTAAATTTTGATCTATTACACTTGTGACTAAATAGTTCTAACCATTAATTATTTAACACAAGTCCAATACCTTTTAAAATTTAAATCTTGATCTATTACAATGTACTTGCACCTTCAACTTCAATTAACTGATCCGAAAGTATGCCAATAAAACGCATGTCTAGAGAAATGTTCTTACTCTTTTGTTGGGTTCTGATACCATATATTCTTAATATTTACAGAATTCAATTTCAAAATCGATTGACAATGAAAAGACTAACCTATGTACCTATAAACTTTGTTAAGTTTCTTGATGTTCTCGTCTCCACGAGAGGGTATTGAGAATTGGGAGTTAGAGGGAGATGGTTGTGTATCAGAACAGTTTGTGGCTGCAACCAAAGCAAATGAAAAGATGCATTAAATAGACCATTTGGAAAACAACATCTGAGGACCATTCTTCCAACTGTGGCAGCCTTTGTTTCTCTTTCTCTCTTCTCATCTCTTTTTCTGGTCCACTTTAGTTATACAACAAATTAAACCAACACCCACATAGAGATTAGAGAGAGAGAGAGAGAGAAATTGGGCAAAGGGCAGAAGAGAGAGAGACTTGAAAAAAAAAGCACACTTTGAAAAAGGATACCAGCTTTTTTATGCCTTTTCTCTCAAGGAAAAAAGGGCTCTAAGTACTTCTAGGGTTGGTGTTTGCCCAAATTGTGCTTGGGATTATATGTATATGCCACTTTTTGGACCTACATAATAATTATTAAAAGTGTATGTTCGATTCGTTTAGTATTGAATTTTTTTGTAGATGTCGAGTTGTGAAACCGAGCTTATATTTTGTTTGAGTTTTTAGGAATATGATAATTCACCACCAACTACGGAAAAAAAGAAAAAACATACGTCGTCTTTTTAAAACCCACAACCTCTTAAGCTCTACTAGACATGAATGTCTAAAATTTCTAATTTTAGGATATGCAAAATCATACTTGATAAAATTTTGTGAACTTGATGTCTCCTAAATATTTAAATTTTGTTTTAGTTTTTATATGTATTTTAAGATATTTTCTTTTGGTTCTTATAGTTTTAACATTGATCAAAAAATGGGTGAAGTTGTAATTTTACCCATTGCCCACCTTTATTCTAGTAAAGCCCATCAATCTCCAACACAAAAAATAAAATAATAATAAAAATAATAAATTAATTATTCTTAAGAAGCTTAAATATGGGATTATCAACTTTCTCTTGGGATGCAACTCTTTGCTTAGAAAGTTTGAAAGTGCACACATCCAATGGCATGAAATATGATGAATAAATATTCCCAAGTAATTAATATTAATAAGAAATTAGGGAGATACATCTCACTTTGTTTGCTTGGAAAACAATGATATAATATATATAATCCCAAGTGAATTAGGGATTTTTTCCATTAAAAAATGCATAGCCTTAATTATTTAAGACTAATTAAGTGCAATATAATGGAGATGGATATTGAAAGGGAGTAAAGCTGTGAATGCCCAATGGAAAACGATCGTTCGTGTAAGAAATTAAAGCAAAATAATCTATATCATAAATAAAATTTTATTACTTTCACATAGAATATCCACCTTATGATAGCAAATTTAGTTCATTCAATGTAATTGTGCATGTTTTTTAAATATTAGTAATAAACAACGACCGTGAAATTCGAACTTGTTACCGTAAAAAGTATATTGATACCTAATTACTTGAATTATGCTCAAGATCATAGTCAACCATAAAACCGACGTGGAAATCGTAAATGAAAATAATAGGAAGAAAATTTAATGTCAAACTATATAATTCTCGATGAATATGACCCAACATTCATTGTCACATGTAGAGTAAAGAGAAATAAAGAAAAAGAAAAGTTTGAAGTTTTATTTTAAAAATTAGCTACGATGAATGCAAAAATATTTTTTTGAATTAAAAAGGTAAAAAGCTAAAAGAAGGGAAAAAAATTGAAAATGTTGCTAAACAAGCTTCATCCATTATTTTCTATCTTTTATGAGTATCCGTGCAAGTTAAATTTAGAATATTTTAAAATATTTTTAAAAATTATTATTTAAAACTTTATAGAAAATACCCAAAATATGGAAATCAAACTTTGAACATTATTTCTAAACTTTAAAATAAATAAATTATTATGAATTCGAATATATTTAAATAGATAATACACCAGTAACATTTGAATGAATTATTTTACAATATTTAATTTAATTACAAGAAATCCCAAACACAGTGTAATTCAGACCTTCCATTTGTACTACAAAGAAAGAAAGAAAAAAGGAATCTTTGCTATAAAATCAGTTACATGGAGATTGAAGTCTCACATGCAAATTATTCATAATATTAATTAAGAACTAAACAAAATTCTGCGTGCCATATTAAACTAAAGCCCATAAAATAATACAGATTATAATCCTGTTTGTTTCTCGGGAAAACAGAAAAGAAAATAAGAGAGAAAACGACCCATCTTAAATGAAAAAAAATAAAAAATATATATATATATATAAATACTTTTTAGATTAAGAATCTAATAATGATCTGAAGAGGTTCCGTACCATATGCTTAAAAACGTACCTACACACATTCTCTGACGAAGAACAAAAATAAAAAAATAAAAAAACTTCAGACCCCAAATTGAAAAATTAAATACTACTCTACAGAAAAAGAAAAAAAATGCTGAAATTGATTGAGAATAATGTAATTGAGGCAATAATAATATCCATGCATTTTTTTCATTTCATTAAAAAAAGAGAGGAAAAAACCACTCATAGGGTGAAACAAATTCCACCTCAATGAGGGAAACATTGAACCTTTTTTACAAGAGAGAGCTTTTTTTCTTTCTTTTTTTTTTTTCTGCTCCTTCCTCAACCCCCTTGGGTTGGAAGAAATATAGAAAGCTAAGTTAGAGAGTCATTAATTAAGCAAAAAAAGAAAAAAAGAAAAAAACCCCATCAAGAGGATTGGAGAGATGGTGATGATGGTGGTGATGATTGATATCCATGAAAAAGTGCAGAAGCCAAGATGGTAAAAAAAAAAGAGATGATATATAGAAAATATGATCTCTTTCTGGGCCAATCTTGTTTCTTGTTGTTGTTCATAATTTGGATTGAAAATTGGTGTTCAAAATTGTTCATCTGAGGATGGAAGTGGTGATGAGGGATCTGAAGACGTGTTCTTGGCAAGGGATGGTGAGGCCCATGTAATGGTCGAACCCGAATTCCTCCTCGGCCTGGCGGAGGAGGCACTGGAACTCCGGGTGGGTCAAGAACGAGATCGGGACAATGAACCGGCTGCGGTTTTCGCCCACGTAAACGGCGAAGTGGCCCTTGGGGACGTCGTCGGGGAGGCCGTTGTCGTTGTCGTCGTTGTCGTCCTTCTTGCCCAAGCTGGAGCAGCGCTTGAGGATTTGCTTCAGCACTGTGGGCTGAGGGAGCTTGTTTACCTTGAGGATGGCCATATTGTATGTGTTTGGTGAAGAATTTGGGAAATGGGAAATCTCCTCTCTTTTGGTACTTTTGGAGAAGAAAAAAAAAAGGGGTTTGAGGGTAGTTTGTGAAGGGGGAAATTGGGGTATTTATGAAGAGAAAAGGAGGGTTAAGGACAGGCCATGATAGTGTATTGGCCAATGTGTCCTTAAGAGAGAGAGAGAGAATGGGGGGTCCAAGTTGCCATTGGGAGAGCCAACAAATAAAGAAGAGTAGACCCAACTGGTTTTGGCTCTCTCTCTCTCTCTATCTTGTGGCCCTAGATTATGAAAACGGCTTTGATTAACAAAGTAACATTCCATCTAAATTCTATACTTTGTGGGGTTTAATGGGAGATAACAACGTTTTCATTGATGTCAAAGCGAGCATAGCTCAACGGTAATTGACATATACTTCAAACTAAGGGATTGCGAGTTCTTCGAATCCCCTCCCCAATATGTTGTACTTAAAAAAATAATGTTTTCATTAATACTAAGAAAGAGGGGCAAAATTACACTCTTTGATCTGGTCTTTGGTCTTTAAATTACCTTGACATTTCAATTCGTATCTTACTGGGTTCTTTGATTTTAAAAAATGTTTAATTAAAAGGTGGTTGAATCTTGTTGTACAAAAAAATTGCGAAAGTTGTTTACATAAAATCAAAAGTTTAAGGGTCTTATTACAACTTTTTAAAGTTCAATGACCTATTAGTACAAAATTGAAAGTTTAGAGACATTTTAAACGTCAAATTGAAAGTTCAGGAACCACTAGCTATAAGATATGAAAAAAGAGTTTAGGAATCTATTATACATAGGATTAAGATTGTAAGGACGAATTCGACATAAATTATGAAAAGTGGTTTAGAAACCTATTATTTGACACCAAATTGAAAGTTTAAGACTATATTATTTTGATTTAAAGTTTAGAGATCGCAAATTACATTTTTTATGCTCAATTTGCAAAATAATTGGAAAGGGTTGATTTAGCTCATAATCAAAAGAAGTTGACTATTTATGTACAACTTGAAGTTGCACAGCGGAAAAGAAAAAAAAAGGTTGATTATATGATATGGACATATTACTTTAGAAAGAAATCATTCGGTGTTTGACGAAAGTGAATCCCAAATTCATTCAAATTAAGACTTTGGGTGTTTTTTTTTTCTGAAAATAAAAAAAAAAATTTGAATTTTAAGTTATAATTTGTCGCATTCAATTATTAGGTTACACAATTTTGTTATATATATAATGGTTGTATAACGTCCCTCCGCGATGAATAGATGGTAAAATGAACTCCAACTTTTTTTTATCAATAAACTAAAAAATCATCCGAGACGAGAATTCATTATGTTGACTTTCTCTTCGCTCTACGCGTTTGTAATTCTACTATCCATGAACTAGCATGTAAGAAATACACATCTACAAATATGGTTAGAAGACGATATCTACTGTAGATTACTCACGCTGTCACCAAAAGATCAATTTTTCTTTATTCTTTTGTTATGTTTTTTCGGATTTTGTACTCAAGGGAAAAAAACCCCTTTAATTAAAATATATAATTTTGCTTTCATAAATCCCATAAATATGATATGTAAATTTGCAGCGATAGTACAGTTTTTAAGTAAACTGCAAATCTTTTTTTTTTATAAGTTAGAAAATTAGCCAGTATATTAACTAGCTGACATTTTCAGCAACATTTTTACCGTTCATAGATTCGACATTCACATGAAAAATGAATCGACATTGCAAAATAATCGACAAAAGATAAAAAAAATTCATATAGGCATAATATTAATATTAAATAAATCGTTATGAATTTGTTACTCATACTTATGGAAGTAGTTTCATGATTTTATATTTTTTGAGAAAAAAAAAGAAATAAAGAGGAAAATTAGTGTCTACCTGAAATCACGGACCAGCAATAGAAGTGTACTGTTGGAGTACAAAAAAATCTGTTGGAATTTTGAAATGTAGTGTTTGTTTGAATGTGGGATTCTCACAAACTTTATTTATTTTTTTAATTTTTGTTTGTTTACAATTTGAAACCCCATGTGCTCTGCTCTCTGTGCCTACTCACTTCTCCAGGCTCTCTCTTTCTGAATTTTGACTCAACATTCATGCAGACACATTGGAATTATCGAAATTAATCTCTTCTCTCTCTCCTCACCAAGTAAAATATAATATTACCTATCAACCACACCGTTAAATTTACCTCCATATTTTCACCGATATAATATTTTGGTGTTCATAGATTTAATTTCGATATAGGGATGAATCGACAATTTTTTTTAAAAAGTTGATAAAATATCACCTAATTAATGGATATAATATTAATGTAAAAAAAATTAACTTATTTGAAAATGGTACAATGTTTATTTGTTATAATCTTTTATATTATCTTTTTAGAAATATTCATTCACGTTGACATTTTGTCGATATTTTCATAAAATTGAAACCTCTATGCTTGTTTGGCTATTAACTACCCTTATTTATTATATGAGATTAAATATATGTGACGGTCTCTAATGTTTTGTTGTTATTGTTGTTTTTTTTTCGAATTTAGTCTTTATGTTTTAACTTTTATTTTTCCAATTATGTCTTTTATAGGGTGAATATTAAAAAGTGACCGAGGATAAGTTAGCCTGACAAGATAGGTCATTGAAATTTGGAGATCTATTTGATAAATTTTAATCATTTTTTTTTCTGAGATAGATAATTTTTAATGTTGACGACTTTCTAAACACAATTATGAAAATTAAAGTATGATTTGATAACCGTTTTATTTGTTGTTTACTATTCTTAAAAGGTTATGCGTTATTTCTCATAATTTAATTTTTTTTCTTTTGTTTTTGAGTTCATTTGTCATAATTTCTTTAGTATGGTTTTAACACTCTTAAAAACACAATTTCTTTATGTTTCTATATTTATAAAACAATGAAAATTCTAACCAAATACTAAAAAAGGAAAAGTAAGTTTTAAAATTTGACTTATTGAAAGTGGCCGTTGTAAAAGGTAATTTGGTAGAAATGGTAAGTAAACAACCTTACTCTTTTAACTTAATTAAAAATTAAAAAAAGCTAGTACGTGAGCATTTAATTATTCCAAAATCAATTCCCTTGACCTATTATCAATTAATTTAATTAAAGTTTTATATCTACAACAACAAACAAAACCTTGATATATATAATATATTCAAGTCTGATAAAGTTTTTTCAAATCTAACTATGGTACCAAATGTCGAGCCACATCAATAACCAACGCACATGAATTAAACTTTCGATCGAAAACTTTAAAACCATAAAACCAACGTACCCTACTCTACCCTACTCTAACAATTGAGCCATTAATAAATTGTCACTATCTCATCTCTTTTAAAAATACAATCACTTTTCAAAGTATTTTTTTTTCTTTTAAATCATGATCGTGGTATATATGCCTTAATAGAAATGTGACATAAAACTTCTTGGATTAGAACTAAAGTTGAGTGGGAGCAATCTTTTTTTTTTAGTTCAACAAGTGGGGAGAGGGAGATTCAAACTCATGAATTCCTCGTTAGAAACATGTATCAATTACTGTTAAGTTAAGTTCATCTTGACGAGTATTTTCATATCCTTCCACATTAGACCCTATATACATGTAATTTTTTTACCCCGTTTTCTCTCTATAATAAAGTGGGGCCCACTGGAGAGAGATATTTATATGAGTAGTCCTCCAAAAAGAAAAATAAAAAAAATGAAAAAGAGAGAAAAATTAAATTCATTTACATGCAAAGAAATTTGTAGAAAATGGGAAATAAAAAGAGAAAAAAAAAAGAGAAGAAGAAAGACAATGGTAATGGGAGTTGTCCTACATATTAATTAGAAGGAAGAGCAATGTTTGGTGATAAAATGAAGCGTATCAGAAAATCATGGCCTTTTTTTGGGTGTGGTCCTCATCATTCCACAGCCACTAAGTCAGAACCTGCCTACAATCAGACACAAATCTCCGCTGTCTAATCCCAAAAACTTTGATTTCTCCGTAGACTCCCCATGACTATATAATATATATATATATATTAGTAACAATTCTAGCCTTGAGAGAGCCGTTACGAGTCGGGTTTGTATAACTTGAGACTGAAAAGTGATCTTGTATGTTTCTGATGCGTAGATGGGTTAGAGTTGAAAACTTAATACTACATCGTTTTCTTGAATAGGTCGAACATGCACTTATTACCATCTCAAAGATCGATGATTTRGTTCCCGCACCTGTAGTTTTTGCTGTCTCTGAAACTGACCTAAGGATGGGTGAGGCTTCCTTGAGTTTAATGTGGTAGGTCATGAGCATAACATAAGGAGTGAAATGCTCGATACTTCAATTATTATTGTTATTATTATATCCTCATTTCATTTGAAAATTAACACAAGACCTAACGAAGTGGAATATTAATATTTAAGTGAGGCGGAAATGACACTACAATACCTTTGAACTACTCAGATCCGTCAATCAAGCGCGGTTTTAAAATAAGAACTTGTTTAATTTATTTTTTTATTTCATTATAGGACTATAATCGCAGTCAAAATCATAGCAAAAGGAAAAAAGGGTAGCCCTAAAATATTGAAAAGACATCCAAACGCTTAAAAAATAGGTTCCTTAAAACCTACTTTAGAAGCTTTTTCCAAACCTCCTTGCGTGAATGACGGCCACAGTTCCAAAGGTAGAAAAGAGAATCTCTTGGTACTTTTTAGGACAATCAGATGGTAAAAATGCCTAAACAACAAGTGAAAGTTCACAACTTCCTCTCATATATAGGCTTTGGCCATTAATAGGAAAGGAAATGATGTTATAAAGATTCGAATACAAAACCTCTCGACTCGACACGATGTTAAACTACCATTAAACTCGAAAATAACAAATGGGTGAGTGAAAATGGATGAAAAGGAAAAATGGGTCACTGTCATAAAAGAGAATCCTCCATGTTACATGAAAAAAAAAATTGAATGGTGGAAAAATAACAGGCAGAGAGAGAGTGGAAGGGCCGAATGCGGTGACCCGGTGAGCCAATGGAGTAAAAGGGATATTCTTTTGAGGGTTTGATGGGGACTATTCCTTGTGTTTGGCACATGGAAGGCCATGTTACTCTTGTCCCCAAGTCTTCTTGTGAAGAAGACAACATAGTAAGGCAGATCAACCCCAACTGCTTGAAAACTGCCACTTTTACTTTACCATAACCATATCCCTCTCATTGCCTTTCCTTTCCCCCTGCCTTGCTACTTCTGATCTTATTACTATTACTCTCGCCCCCGCCACCTGCTCGATCAGATGTTCGAACCCGGAAAGAGACGAACATTTCGACTCTGGCAGCCTGGCCTAGTACTAGCAGAGCAGAGCTTAACTCCATGTGGAATGTTGTTGTAAACACGACCGGTATGATGGGCGTGCTGAAAATGTAGCCTGCAGCAGGCCACCGGGGTAGTTTTCTGGTTGGGGGTTTGGCTGTGATCCATCTGCAGCAACTCAAACTACAATATGTGTATACAGTTGGTATAGTTGAAAATTTAACCGAGGAAAAAATGACTAATGACGATCTAGGGTATATGAAACCTGGATTTAGAAGGATGTACACAATGAAACAATGACTGATTGGGATTGGAATTGAAAAATTGGACCCATCTAGACACCGATGGAGAAAATATGAAATTTGAGGATAGGATTGTGCTGTACCTCGTAAGCAAATGTGCGAAACAAGGGCGAGATTGATATGAAATCAAGTCGCAATGAACATGACTGCACATGCAGGTATAGGTCCAAACCAAAAGCAGGGCCATCGGGTCCCATCCCCATTTAATGTCAAGTACTGGAGAAAGGTCTGTGATTGATCATGTGTATTCTGCAACATCCTGTGAACTTTGCTCTGATAATTTTTTAATATGCCATGTCTATATGTTTCAGAAAGAAGAAAGCAAAGCAATAACTGAAAAAAAGAGTACAATTGAAGATAACATCACTTCTAAGAAGCAGGGTTAAGACAATACTTTCTATTAAAAACATTCTGCCGTTGCATTAAATCTGACCGACGAAAAAAGTCACAACGAAAAAGCCACGTAACTGTTATGAATTTGGACAAGCAAGCCAAACGTACCCTATAAAATTTTGTATTTGCAAGTTAAATGTATTGAACAATGCTTACATCTCATGTCTGCTTGATCACTTGATAAGTTTCGTAATACTGTTAGAATCAGAATGAAGGATGGGATGATTGACACAACCTTCCATTATTTTCCCTTGAAAATGGATGTTCCCTTTAGAACACTGGTAGCCCAGCCTTGAGTTGTCTAAGGCCTTGATGATTTTGCAATGTGCTAATAGTTTACAACTCACTGTGAAACAGAAAAATGAAAATATTATTCATAATATTTCAACATTCCATAGGAAACACATATGACTTCTTTATGATGATCACAAAACGTCACCTAAATTTAGAAATGGAGAAGATTCTGAATTTGTTTAAACCAAACAAGAAAGATCAAATCACAGTTTATGATACCATCCTTTAATTTTGGCTGAGTAAGGAATAGAAAAAGAATGAAATCACATACAAATATAAAGGGACATCCATAGAGTATAAGGTTATACAACAAAGCCAAATGTCAAAATCTTAGAGACAAGGCTAAAAAAGAACTTTCATCTAAAAAGTGCATAATATAGCCAAAAGGCTGAAAAAACGAGTAGAAGCAAAAAAGTCAAACACCCTAGAGAAATGGCTATGCAAGCTCCAGATTGGAAAGTAAATGAGTAAACTAGAGAAATCTAATGCATAATCACTCTCTAGAAAGGAGCTACAGCCTAAATGAAAGGGACTTGTACTGCATCACAAATTATTAGTGAGTGATGGAAAAAAACGTCTATTTAACACGAAAAACAACCTAGGGCTGTATTATCTACCTATTTGTAGAAAGCTAGCATTTCTTGTCCTCCAAATCAAACAAGCAAACAGCAAAAGCAACCCAGAAATAACAACAGGATGGTCCTTGTCTTTACAATGAAAGGTAGAGAGTTCAGATCAAGTCATGTGTAAGGTATCTCTTCACAATATATTGATATTCAAAGAGTAGAAGCCCTAAGGCCGTACAAAGGTCTCCTCTAGCTAATTAGAGAGGGCTGTTTCTCTCTCCATCTAAGACTTCCCAAAATAAAATAGACAATCCTTACACCAAAACCCAGAACATATAAGAACCAACTAACTTGTAGAGGGTTAATTTTCCTCTTTGCCCTTCCTAATATTCGTATTAACAATTGGGGGCCCCATACAACGCTGTTTATGGAATTAGTAGAAGGAATCTATCTTCAGCATAGTTAAGAAATAAAATCGATGGTCATGGGATGATACACTTGAAAAGCTCGGTCACTTGTTGGGAATTCCTGCAAGATGTCAAACCATGAAACATAATGGCTATCTTGCTCCTATTCTTAAGGATATAGTCTTAATGAAGCTCTATAAAAGGCTTCACAACTATTAACTAAGAGATGAACACTAAGTACTGACAATTGGTCAAGTAATCTCAAATTAACCTAATCTTCGTTGAACTTTTCCCCGTTTTTCTTGGTTTCAATGTTTCACATTACAGAAAGGCATCTTCTGTAACAGAAGTTATCAACATTCTCATGACCTTGCTAAAATAGATCAAGATAATATTTCAAGAAACGAAGTCTAAGAAACATTAGGAAGTCTAAGAAACTCAAGAATGACTCACTTGTCAAGAGTGAAACCTAATAAGATGTCCAATCTTATGGAACTTTCATATAACTAGAAAACAAATACCAATCAAATTCTATTAATAAATGGAAATTGAGTAGAAGCAATTTAATTGCAACATTTCTTTATTAATTTGACACTATTAAATTGTTGACTTGAATGAACTACTGCAACATGTTGAGCATTTGGATTTGATCTTCTACTCAATGGGATGGCTTCTCACGTCATTACTCTAAAGCAAATTTCCTTTCCATGGAGAGACATGTATATCTGAATATATATGCCGAGCAATCGTTGGCTTGATAACTCATGCATACTTCGTACCAAAACAAAGTTGACAACTGTGAACAATGACATCCTATTTCATGTACTGATTTCTTAAAATCGTTGTCAATGTTTGTTCATGTGCATGTTTATCATCTTCTGGATAGAGAATGCCGAGTGTCTTCAGAAAAATATGGGCAAGGCAGGAAGTTAACGGAGCTGCCTCAGGACATCATTATGTTCTCTCCCATGGTAAACACTTTATTTTTTCAAGCTTGTTCTATTGTCTACTTTCAGCAATCTGAACTTCCAAATAATGAAAGAAAAATGAGAAAAGATCATAAAAACAGCCATCTCAGACAGTACAATTCCTGAAGAAAATTAATGGCTTACAGTTACATATGAATAACAAGCTTATCACACTGGAAAAAAGAACATTCCCATACTTTCTTTTTTCTGTAAGGTGAAACTCAGACTGATAATGCACAAAGAAATTTGAAGTTTATAAAGTATAAGCTATGACAATGAGGCCATCTCAGAAGTTACATCGAAAAGAAGCACATTATAAGTATTTAGTATCACATCATGTAAATGTAGTGAAATCAAGATTATACAAGTACAATTACAGAATTTGGAACTCAAAGTTCAGGATTATCCTAGCCGACCAGGTTTATTTAGCCAATTTGGAAAACTTATGGTATACCATTATAGACTAGAGAACATTAAATGAAAATTCTATGCAATGACAAGTTGCACCGTGTTATATTCTGTCTGTCAGCAGAAAATACTAAGACAAGTTGAATCTGATCGATGATGCAAAAAATTTAGATGAGCAAATGAATTCAAGACATATTCCTGAAAGACAAACCATTATCTATGACATGCCACATGGAGAAGAGTATCGAATAAGAAACTAAAAATAATAGCATTATCCAAAAGTTTGTTCAAAGAAAAATGTCAAGATGTGAAGCTCTTTCAAGAAGTAAACATCTAAATGCTATTGGCAACTCGGCATGGTGAAGGAAGGTTTTGGCAGTGAAACTAATGGATAAGATGGGTATTAGACTGATGGGACCAGGTATTTGCACAGTCCAAATGGATCAGTACAAATATTTTCAGCTGCGCACATCATCAGGTTCTATAAAGTGGAAAAGTACAACTACTACCAATGAAAGGTGTAAAAACTAAAGGTTTGAGAGAATAAAATTATCTCTATGACTCAATTCCATTCAATAAAGAATATATATAGATAAATATACAAGGTTGACCTAAAGTAAATAATGTAAAAGAGCGATAAAAGATAAATAACTAAGATGTTTACAATAATAGAAAATATAATAAATAAGTAGGAAAATTTCAGCCTGTCCTATTCTCAAGTGCTGCAAGCTGTAAAAAATTATCTGAAAAGAAATTCATGAGTACCTGTGCCTGGCCTGGGATATAATCTTCGTTGGCACTGATATTCTGTTCTTCTTCACAGCATTTTGTAACTGACCTAGCATTCATATAACAGTATCATTTACTTTGTTGCATTGTAAAATGCAAAACTATAGATAGCAAGACGTACATGACAAGACCAAGACAGGGAGAGGAAAGCCAAGCCAGCAGGTAACAAGATGAAGGATTGGCAAACTACCCATCAAGTATACTTTAGGAGGAGGAAGGGAGGGAGTGAGTGCGACTATTCAGTTAATTCAACTGGGCGGGCATCTTTTGTACCAAAGGGAAGTGGGACCCATTCATATAAAATAGCTGATTTAAGCAGTAGGGAGTTAGAACAGGTACTGATATAAGTAGAGGGAGAGCTTTAGACCTCTCGAATAGTCTGAGAACTTGTAGTCCTTCCCTCTTATTTTGCTTACTACAGTTCAGTAGACTCTCTTATATCAATTGGCATAACACTTGAGTTAAATGCTGGATAATTATGATAGAAGCTAAATTTCTCTTAGGCTCGATGAAATAATCTTCATAGCATCTCTTAATAAATCATTTCCTCATAAAATAAGGTTTTTTGAGCAGTTTAACTTTTACATAAGGCTATTTGAGTAATGTTCAACTTGTGATCTCTATCCAACTACATCCAACATCTTTACACATCCCTTCTTTACTCACAAATTCCCTCAAATGCTCTATCTCATTCCACAGCCCAAAAATAGCATATAGATTTGATAGCATAACGAATATCCCAGTATTCTGAGGATCCAATTCAAGTGCCTTTTGAGCTGCCAAATTACCCAACTCAATTTTTCCATGTTCCAAGCAAGCACGGAGCAAAGCTCCCCACAGAGAAACATTGCAATGCTGACTTTTCATATCATTTACGAGCTTCCATGCTTTGTCCAATTCCCCAGCTCTACAGAGCAAGTCAACCAAACAACTGTAGTGCTCTTGACCAGGTTGCAACCCAAAATCACTTTGCATGGAGTCAAAATACTTGATTCCAAGATCCACCTCACCAGTATGACCACAAGCTGATATGACTGTCACAAAAGCCACCCTATCTGGTTTGATCCCTTCCATCAACATCTGGCTGTACAGTTCAATTACTCTTTTGTAACATCCATTTCTACCATATACACTAAGGATTGAAGTCCACACTATAATATCCCTTTTCCCATCTTCTTTTTGTTCAAGCCCAGCGAAATTGAAGACATTCCATGCTTTTTCCACCATGCCACTCTTTCCATACATTTCAATTAATGTGCTTTGTAGATGCACATCACTTGGAATATCATAAATCATTCGTAGTAGATAAGCATGCACTTGCTTACCTAATGCAATTGCAGATAAACAAGCGCAGGTACGCAAAGAAGCTGACAAAGTGAAGTGGTCGTACTTCAAATCCAAAACGTACATCTTACGAAGCAATTCAAGTCCCTCGACCCACATCTTGGCCTCGCCGTATCCAGCCAGTAGTGCATTCGCACACACGGTATTCTTCATGGGAATTTCATCAAACACCTCAACTGCATCACCAATTAGCCCATTTTTGGCGTACAAGTCAACAATCGCACTACCCACAAAAACACTAGATAACCAACCTGATTTCCCCACGAAGGCATGCATCTGTTTTCCAAACATCACATTCTGAACAAGAGAACAAGCACTCAAAGTGCTGCACAGGGCATATGAATCGATAGGAACCCCATTGGAATGCATGAAAGAGAACGCCATTAACGCAAAATCCGCAGACCCATTACGACAAAAATCAGCAATTATTATGTTAAAGGTCAAAGAACTTCTGGGGATGATGAATTTGAAGAGGCTGCTTAAACTTTGAGCACCGAAATTGGGGTTGGCTCGGGAGTAGGATAGTATGAGCTTAGTGTGAAGGCTAGGTGAGAAAAATTGGAAATGGGTTCTAATCAGGTGGGCGTGAAGCTTCTTAATGGGCGTAAGATTTTTGGTTTCAGTAGAATGGCGCAAGAAACTGGAGAAGAAATCAAGACTTTGTTTGATATGAAAATGGTGAGAGCGCGACATGAAGAAAATGGGACGGGCTGGCCAGCAGCAACTGGAGGGGTTTTTGGTAGTTTTCCTCCCACGGTGCGGGGGGTATTTTCGTCATTGTGTGGGTACCGTTATGACAGTTGAAAACCTATAGTTTTGCCTTCTTTTTTTGTCTTTTTTTTTTTGTCGATTTTATAGTAGGTATCTTTTTAATTAAACTTATTTTTCAAAATATTATAAAATATTTATAAAATTTCAGAAATGAAAAATATAGTTCTGAAACTATTTTTTCTCAAGAAATGGACTAGGATTTTTTTTTTAAGTTTATACAAAATGAAGAAAATTGTTAAAATAATTTTAAAAAAAAGTGTTATTAAACAGTACCAATTGCTTTAATATTTAGATGAAATTGTTACAAAAATGAACTCTAACCTATATTTCAAAAGTATCTCTCGATCCAACGAATGATTGAAAGTATATGCCAATTTCTACGGAATTAGGCTCGTTTATAAATAATAGAACTCAATTTGCAAGGGGAAAATAAGTTGTTATCTCAATTTGAATGGGAGATTTGAACACTGCTCCTCCAATTCTCAAGTAAATTTGCAAATTTAAAAATTATTAAATCCTGTAGAACTTTTATATTGAAAAAAAAATCGCTTTCACTTCATTAATAATCAATGTTTGATATTCGAAGGCGAAAATTTCATGCAGTTTATCAAAAATATCTCGTACATCAAAATAACAAAATCTAGTTGGTTTAAAATTTGTACCCAAACCGAATCCCTCTGCCTCAAATTTCACTTTGTTTAAGAAAAATAAAAAATAAAAGTGATGGCAATAAAATACTATGTTTATCCCTTTATTTCAATTTTGTTCATCTGAGCCCATTTGATCCTAATTGTAAAATGTCTTTAAAATCATACCTTCAATATAAATTTATAACTATATTTCAAGAAAATTTAGCGAGTTATGATAAAATTGTAATAAAAGAAATGAGATAAAACTGAAATGAAAGGATCGATATTTAGAAAATTGATGTCTTGAAAATATAGGAACCAAAGTGAACAAAAATCGAAATTTAAGAACCAAAATAGATGTTTTAAAAGCATAAAGACTAAAATAAACATACTGAAATTTGTATCTAAACCATGATCCTAAATATCCGTCAATACGTCGATATTTCTATTGACATATCCATGTTTCCATGAGTTCGACATCGACATTTTCATTATAGTACAAGAAAAACAACAAAATATGAAAAATATCAACAAAATATCACTAATATATATATATATATATAATATTAATATTAATCATTTTTAACTAATTTAGAAATGGAAAAATGTTTATTTGTTAATTTAAATATTTTTTACGATTTTTTAATTTTTCTAATTTTTACAGAAATATCCATCGACATCGACATTGACCTTTTATCGATATTTTCACCGACGTTCCCATGAAATTGAGAAACATTGATGTAAACCAATGAAAGAGAAGAGAATTGGACCAGATAAACTTTCTTCCATTTATGAGGAATCTCGCTAACCTTTCCTCTCCTAAAGCTGTTGCCTGGGAGGATGATTAAAAAAAGAAAAAAGCCTTCCAAATTGGAAAGGAGTACAAGAAGTAACTTTTTACATTCATTTTGAAGTGCTACAAAATCTAATGCCGAAGCCTAGAAGTGACTTCAATGAAAGTATCTTCTGTGCAGGGAATAGTTAGGCTGCCCATTGGGTGACCAAAACCAAATTCTTCTTCAGCTCTTTTTAGCAAATCCTGGAATGAGGGCTGTTTTAAGTATGATATTGGAACCACATAGCGTTTTCTGAGGCTCTCTTCTACATAAACTGCAAAGAAGCCTTTTGGAACCTCCAATGATGTTGAAATTGCCTCTCTTTCACTCAAAATGCACCATTTAAGAACTTTCTTTGTGAGAATGGCGCTCTGTAAACGGATTCCCATTGTCGGTTTTTCTTGCGTTAGTTCTGCAAATTTTTAGGGAAAGAAAAGAAACAATGAAGAGAAAATGCAGACTTGGGTTGCTTAAACCACAAGTTTGTGTCTGTATTTATACTGATAAATTGGTGGAAGAGGAAGATATCATATAAAGATTCTGAGGCAATGGAGGGAGAGGCAGGCTGGGGTCCGGTTTAGACCAGAGTTCACAAGGGTTTCACATGGCCCTGTCCTCCAACTTGCAGTTTGGGCTCAAGGCTGGGGAAGTAACAGTGTCCCCACTTGGTTCTAAACAAAAGTCCTACAAAATTAGCCACTGCCCAATTCAGGACCATCAGAAGATTGGAAAGGGACAGGTGGGTGGGTGAGAGCCTTAAAGTTAAGGGCACAATTAGGTGGCTCTTGGGTTATAGGGAGGGTGGGAAGAGACCAAATATGTGAATGTTGTCCAAAGAAAGCAACTGGGAGTGGGTGAAAATTGAAAGCAAACCAAAAGAGACAATTCTATGAGCTAACATTGACATTCAAAAGCAACAGAGTGCAGATTCTCTCTCATGTGGGTTGATTAGAAAATTACAACATAAATGAATGCGGGATGATTTGAACTCTTTTTACTGTTGATTGAAACATGTAAAAGGATGTTTTTCACTGATATCGCACCGGTTAAAAGTTTCCAAGCCGGTGCCCGTTTTTCTACCTAAAATAAAGCAGCAAGAGAAGCAGACACACAATAAACAGAAAGTTAGGAGGACCACGGGAACTCACACTGGAGGTTGGTTTAGGAACTAGAAAAATATTCTTTCTATTCTTGCTGCATAGACTGAAAAGTGGGCTTTGGGGACTTATACAGCTGTTAAAGCCACATCATTTCCTGATCTAAATAGTGAATTTTGAGAATGATTATAATCAGAGGAAGATATTTAATACTAAGAAATCCAATAAATGACTCCAGATATTGATAAAAAAAATTTTGAAACGCTGTTAAATGCATTAATCAGGTGGGACCTGGTGAGAGACATAATTGTCTAAAGAGTCACATGGAATTGCCAAATACTAACCAAGAGCTTTGTAGTAAATGACGTTGTGTAGTTGTTAAAAACATAGCATGCCTGCAAGTTCTGGGAGAACAACCTGCAATGAATCCAATTAAAATTAGGAAAGACTCCATTGTTGATAATAAATGGATGGCCTTGGAATAGTAAATAAGCTTGGAGACATCTCTAACTATTCGTACGAGAAACAATTTGATCTTTTCCAAAATTAGAACGACTAATTAAATAGCAAACTTAACTAGTAGTACATCGTGCTGCTTGTGCCCTCTAGAACCATATGAATTGATTCCACAAAATGACTCCTTAGCATGCAAATGAAGATACACGTCCTAGCTTACTTGTGCAAGGAGATATATATCAACAAAGGGCTAGACTTCATAAATGTATTACAGAAAGAGTATTACCCTTTTCAAATGTAGTGTTGGGTGAAGAGTAATATGATGTCGGAGTTGAGTGGAAGATGCATGAAACAAATTATGTCGCTTCCATGCTGGAAAGATTGGATGGAGATGTCATATTTTGATGAAGTTTTGTGCTACATAAATCATTTCACTAGGTGGAACAAAAATAAATAGCCTAAGGCAAGGATCTTTATCAAATCTCTTTTCAATGTCTCGATAACACCTACCTACCGTTACCGCGTCTCTTCCAACAAGAACCTTCTGCTACTATCCTTGAAAGCTCTGAAATTAAAACTCTTGTCAGCTAATGTCATACTGTTTCTTGAATGACAATGGAAGGTTCCGATATTATGAAAAAGGCTCAAGTACAAAGGGTGATTAAGTGGAAAAGAAAACCAGAGCGATTGCAGCACATGATCTTGTTCCACCATGCTACCCTCCAAAGTCAAATTTGACTAGAATGCCAAAATTAGTCGGCTAATATGAGATATTTCATCTGTTTAGCCAGTGCATGAAACTATATGAGGAATCAGACCAAAGTCATCTAAACAAACTGTTCCTATTTTAGTTCTCGACTCTGGATTTGATCATATAATGGTTTAGTTTGCATTTGGCTGTCATTTTGAAGCCAGTATGTGGAAGGAATAATGTCATAGTTAGATGATCAAACTTGTGACGCAATCGTTAATACTCAAACTGTTTTTCATATGAAGTCCGTGAAGATAAATGGAACTAGTATGTGTTACTTTTATACTAACAGAAAAGCAAAGCATGGGATTTTAATGGTCCTTGATTGCTCAAAATCAGTCTGTTACAAATATTTAGAAAAATATGAACAATAATGTAGATTAAGGATTAAAAATAACCCATTCACGTTAAAATACGTCCTCAAATATAACATGAAAATGGGAAATGTTGACAAAAATTGGAGTAGCATTCTTCTCTTATAATGACAAAATGAAAGTTTGCATTTTGCCACTTGATTTAGGTGTTCTTAGGTAAATACTAACTAATGTATCTAA